CCCCGCCCCCACCCCTTCCCCCCCCCCCCCTTCCCTCCCCCCCTCCCACCCCACTCCCACTCCCCTCCTCCTCCCTCGACATGGCCATCCCCCTCCCCTCATGTACCACCACCATGCTGGCGGTCTATGTGGTGGCACTCGTCTGGACGACGACGTCGCTCTCGGCGATGGCACTGACCATTCGCGACGCAGCGAGCCAAAACGATGTGACGGGCTCGTTGACTTCGAGTGACCCGGCGATGAGTCCGGCAGAGATGCTTATGGGTGGTTACACACAGTTCTCGGCCATGCCCGCGCAGGGCTTTGAAGCGCTGCCTGTCGTCGTCTTTACCACCAATCCTTGCGCTCCATCGCCGCCGGGGGTTTTTTGGGCAAAGCCGTGGTTTTTGACGAAGCGCACGTTGATCGCCGTCATCCGCGGACGGGCCTCGATTTGGTCTCGCTGCCATGCGCGGTGGATGAGATGGTGGCCAAGGCGCAAGCAGCTGGTGCTCGTGCAGTGCTGCTGGACAAGTTTTTCGTCGAACAGCCGTTTGGCGCAGAGGCCGACGACAAGACGGATGTCGGCCACGGGAGCTGGTACAACGAGTTTGCAGACGCCGGCGCTCCCATGGCAGGCAACCATCATTCTGTCTTTACCGCCATCTCGTTCATCCTCGACACTGCGGGTCCGCTCGCTAACAGAGCCCTCGGTCCACCCATCGAGCTCGTCTTTGAACAGATGCCGCTTGTCGAGCCCGAGACCGACGCCCTTCGTGACCTGTACATCTCGCTCAACGGGCCGTCGTGGAACTGGGCCTCGACCAATGTCAATGGCAAGCCGTGGCTGTTTGTAGAGGGGGCCGACCCGTGCTACGACAACTGGGCCGGCATTGTCTGCAACGAGGGCGGAAGCATCGACCAGCTCCTCCTCCCGCAGCTTGGCCTTGTTGGCTCGCTCCCCGAGTCCATCGGCAACCTCCTCGATCTCACCGTCCTCGACCTCTCTAACAACCGCATCTCGGGCTCGCTCCCCGTCCGTATCGGCGAGTGGGTCTCCATCAGGACCATCAACCTCGCCTCAAACTCCATCTCCGGCGACGCCATCCCGCTCTCCTGGGCCAGCCTCGACGTCGAGACGCTCAACCTCGAGGGCAACCTGTTTGGCGGCCTTCTCATCGCCTACAACTTCCCCCAGGCCGTCCGATCTATTCTCATCTCCAACAACAACATCACCGGCCCGCTGCCGACTGACCTCTCGGCCTACGCCTCGCTCAACGAGTTCCGCGTCGCCAACAACCGCCTCACGGGGCCCATCCCGCCGAGCCTCTTCAGCGCCAGCCTCACGCTCGACGTCATCGACCTCTCGGGCAACAGCCTCGAGGGCGTCGTGCCGCAGGGCATTTTCCTCGTCACCGAGCTCGAGCGCCTCGATCTCTCGCAAAACAGTTTTACCGACGTCGCCACTCCTCCGCCCGGTGCCATTGTCTCCATCGAGGTCCTCGACCTCTCGCACAACCTCCTCACCGCCGTCCCGAACTTGCTGGCCTTTACCAGCCTTTCCTCGCTCTCGCTCGCCAACAACAACATTGGCGGCCTCCTCCCGGCCATCCACATCGCGAGCCTCCGCGAGCTCTCGGTCGCCAACAACGAGCTCACCGGCTTTGATCCGGGCTTCTCCGAGTACTATGAGGACTTTGCCAACACCACTTCGCTCGCCGCCCTCGACGCGTCGGGCAACAGGCTCAGCTCGCTCGTCGACGTCCTCCGCGCCCTGCCGAGCATCCTCACCTCGATCGACCTCTCCAACAACGAGCTCACCTTCCCCTACCCGTTCTTCGACTTTGGCTACCTCTCTCGCTTTGAGTTGCTCTCGGAGATCTCTCTCGCCGACAACCTGCTCTCCTCGCTGGTTGTGGTCTCCACCGACGCCGCCGAGGGCTTCCCCTTCCTCTACGAGATCGACCTCTCCAACAACGAGTTCTACGGGCCCATCTCGGACTCGTTTGGTGCCTTCCCACCCTCCGCTCGCTCGACCTCTCGGGCAACAACTTTACTCGCCTCGACGGCCCGGGCTCGCTCGTCCCCTCGTTCATCACGCTCGACTACGTCTCGGCCGTCGACACCGGCTCGTTGGACAACGCCGCCTGCCCACCTTTACCGCTAACGCAGGCACGCTCAGCATCAGCATCGACCACTCGTACCACTCGTACCTCCTCTGCAACTGCCTCGACGGCTTCTACAACAACTCGCTCGGCGCCTGCCTCCCCTGCCTGCCGCACGCAAAGTGCGAGGGCTACCCCACCCGCCGCACCACCTCGCGCATCTCCCCCATCACCGGCTACTTTCCGCTCCGCCGCATCATCACCATCGACCTCCCCTTTGGCATCCCCAGCGCCCGCTCTATCAACTACTCGCTCCCGGACGCCGCCAACTTTACCGACGGCGAGCCCATCGACGACGATCTCATCTTCCTCCCGCCCGACGAGGACTCGTTTCCCGAGGCCCTCGTCCATCTCGACGACGTCGACCTGTATGACTCGGACGCCCCGCCATCGGCCTCGCGCGCCGCTGCCATTGCTGCTGCCTCCTCGTTTGAGGCCCGTCGTCGTGCCGCTGCTGCCGCGCCCTTTCGCGCCGCCGTCCGCGCTGCCGTCCGCGCCACCACCACCTCGTCGTCCACAGACGAGGCGTCAACGGCGACCAAGGCACTTGTGGCCGTCACCGAGGTGATGAAGGCGTGCTCGTTTGGCGCCATGAAGGAGACCGACTCGAACAACCCATGCGTGGTCAACACCCAGGGCACCTTCTCGTGCAAGGAGGGCCACACCGGCCGGCTCTGCGCCGAGTGCAAGGACGAGTACTTTAGCCGTGACGGCGAGTGCATCAGGTGCAACCCGGACGACGTCGTCTGGCCCATCATCTTCATCGTCTTCACCCTCCTCGTCCTCGGCGCCGCCTTTGCCATCGCCGGTATCCGCGACGTCATTCCGCGCATCGAGCGCGTCTACACGCCTATGATCGGCGTCCGCGCCATGGCCGCCACCGTCCACCACAAGGCCTCGTCCGTCATGGCCGACCACCACTTTGGCAGCGTCCACCATCACTCGGAGGCCGAGGAGGACGAGGACTACACCTTTGACACCATCGGCTCGTCCTACGACGAGGAGCAGGAGGAGGCCAAGTCCCGCTCCCGCTCGCGCTCCCACACCAAGGCGTCCAAGGCGTCCAAGGCGTCCAAGGCGTCCAGGGCGTCCAAGGCGTCCAAGGCGTCCAAGGCGTCCAAGGCGTCCAAGGCGTCCAAGGCGTCCAGGTCGGCCGAGACCGGCTCTGAATCGCTCTCCAACTCGCGCTCTACGCTGCGGTCGACACGCAACAGGGTGGCGCCGGCAGCGTACTCACGGGCGCAGAGCAGGCAAGGCCACAGCCAGCAGCTGTGGAAGCGGTCTGGTGAGCTCGACGCCGAGACAGTGGCCTCATCGTCGGTGGTGGAGGAGGTCGACTCGCTCCGCGACCGGCGGCGGTCGCTCCGGCTGTACATCCAGTCGATCATCCAGGTCTCGATCAACTTCTTCCAGACGCTCGCCATCTGCGTCGCCGACCTCTCGGTCCCGGCCTCGGTGGTCCCCGTCCTCGCCGTCGGCGAGTTCACCAAGTCGTCGTCCGAGGGCATCGGCCTCGAGTGCTTCCCGCCATTCCGCACCTTTGCCGCCCGCTACACCGCCATGATGGCCCTCCCGGTCATCGTCGCCACCCTCATCCTCCTCATCTTCACCCTCAAGTTTGTCCTCCGCTACGGCAAGGCCCGTGCCGCCTTTGCCGCCCGCGCCGCAGGCGCCAGCAGCAGCCACTCGGACTCTCACCTCTCCTCGTCGCTGCTCTCGGACGACGAAGAGCAGGAGGCGATCCGCCGGTCGACGTCGGTCTCGGCCTCGGCTTCGGCCTCGGCCTCGGCCTACGAGCTCTCGCAGCACGACGAGGCGCCGCCGCTCGGGCTCGTCTCGGAGGACGAGGCGCTGGAGCTGGTGGCCGTCCCGGCAACGCCGGCATCCAAGTGGGCCATCTACGGCGGACAGGTCATCTACGTCGTCTTCCTCACCCTCAACTACTTCTTCTTCCCCATCGCCTCGTTCTCGCTCAACGTCTTCCACTGCGAGGACGACCCGGTGTCGGGCGTGTCGTTCATGGTGGCCATGCCGCACCTCCCGTGCAACTATCTCTCCACGGTGGAGAAGGGCATCCCGCTGGTGGCCTACATCGTGCTCCCGGTCGTCGTCCTCCTCGCCGTCATGACCATCCTCGAGTTCTTCCCCACCACCTACCTCATCAACACCTCGTTCGGCTTCTGGTTCGACGCCTTCCGCTCAAAGTCGCGCTTCTTTGCCGCCATCTTTCTCCTCCGCCGCCTCTTTCTCGCCGTCATCGTCACCTTCCTGGGCGTCAACGCCATCCAGCGCCACATCGTCATCATCATCACCCTCCTCGCCTCGGTCGTCCTCGACTACGAGGTCATGCCCTACTACTTCCGCCGCACCAACATCGTCGACATTGCCGCACACGCCCTCCTCCTCCTCGTCTACACCACCTCGCTCCTCGCTGACATCCTCAACGTTGACGGCGACTCGGCAGAGTTTGCCGGCACCATCCTCATCGCATGCATCGCCATCGGCCTGGCCATCCTCCTCTGGGCCATCATCCTCCCTGTCTACAACACTCTTGTCCGCGGCCGCTGGCACGACGCCGACGCCCGCGAGAAGCACCTGCACAAGGTCCTCTCCGAGCATACTGCCCGCAACGCCGCCGCACACGCCGACGACTCGGACTAAACGCCCCCCCCCCCCCTCCTCTCACCCCCCTCACCCTTCTCTTGTGCTCAAGACATGTCTTTAGCTACAGCCATCGCCCGCCGCCACTGCCGGGCCCGCGCCGCAGCACCTTGCCGCTCTTGGCCCGACCCGGCGATGGCGAGAGCAGCACCGCCACGCCGCTGCTGCCGCCGCCCGTCCCGGGCAGCGAGCCTGTGCTGCTGCCCGGTGTTGAGCCGCGACCGCTAGGTGGCGTGGTGGTGCGGGCCTCGGACGTCGTGCCGCCGCTATCTGCCGGCATGCTGCTGCTGAGCCCGGCGAGCCCGGCTGCGAGCCCGGCTGCCGCCCGCACTCGCCCAGACGGCCCCATCCGCTGCGTCCGCGGACCGCGGCGGTGGAGCAGCTCGACCGCAGCCTCGACCGCAAGCTCCTCGGCAGCCTCTCGCTGCCGCACCCGCTGCTCCTCACGGACAAGCTCGCGATCGACAACCTCGGCTGTCCGCGGCGTCGCCTGGCCCAGTCCGCGCCCGGCCCGCCCGTACACGCCGCCGGGCGTCGCCCCGGGCGTCCACCGCCCGCTGACAAGCGGGCTGAGGCCCACAGCACTGGCCAGCCCGCCGCCGCCACTGCCACCGCCGGCTGCGCTGCCACCAGCTCCGCCAGGGCTTCCGCCGGCGTGCGTCTTGGGCGGCGTGGTGCGGATCCGCCTCTCGCTGCCGCTCCCGCGCCCGCCAGACAGCGCCGCCAGCCCACGCCCGGCGCCCGGCCCGGCACCGCCTCGAGCTGTGCCGCGCCCGCGCCGGCGCCCGCGCCCGCGCTGCGCCACTCTGCGCCGCTGATCCGCCCGGCGATCACCCAGCAGCGTGCCCAAGGCCCCGCGCTCCGCGCGCTCGCGCCCGGGCATGTGCACCCGCGCCCGCGCCGCCGGCGGTACCACCGCCGGCGCAGGGACCACCGCTGCCGGCCACGCCTCTGCCTCTGCCTCGGGCACAGGCTCCGGCTCCGGCTCGGGCTCGGGCTCCGGCTTCGGCTCGGGCACAGGCTCCGGCTTCGGCTCGGGCACAGGCTCCGGCTCCGGCTCGGGATCGACAGTCACCTCGGGTATCGACTCCTCGTACGCGTAGTCAGCCGGCGGCTCGATCGTCTGCAGCCGCTGGCGGACGGTGGCCTCGGAGGCAGCATCCATCAACAGCCTGCTCGCGGCGTCGTCATCTTTCAGTGGCAACGCGCGTGGGTCGGGCGTCGGCTCGCGCGAGCTCTGCTGGTCGGCGCTCTGTCTCGTGTCAAACGCGTCGCGCTCAATGGCCCGCACTGCTGCTGATGGCGGCTGCGCTGGCGGTGGTGATTGCACCGCCGCCGAAGACACCGCCGTATCACTCCGCCGCCGCCGCCGCTTCCGCCGCTCGCCGCTCGCCTTGCCGTGGTTCTCGTCGTTTGACAGCCGCCGCCGCGACTGCCCGGGCAGCGGCAGCTGGGCGGTCATCGGCGCCGTCGGCGGCACCAGCGGTGACCGGTTCGTCCGCCGCGGCGAGAGCAGCTCCTTCGTCTTGGGCTGGGCACCCACACGCTCTGTGGACTCGGACCGGCTCGCCGCCCGCCGCCGTCGGCGCCTGCGCCGACTCACCTTCTCCCGGCGCCGGCGGCCTGCGCTGTCGGCGTCGGCGTCGGCGTCGGCGTCGGCATCGGCATCCTGCTCCGCCGCCGCCGGCGATGACGGCGGATTCGGTGAGTTGCGGCCCGAGTCGAACGACTCGATGGTGTCGAGGCGCTCGAGGTGGAAGACGTCTGCGGTGACGGCTGCGGTGCGTGCGGCGGCGGCGGCTGCGGCGGTCATGTTGGCGGCCTGCGGAGTGGCCTTGCGTGCGGCGGCGGCGGCCGAGGCGGTGGCGGCGTCGTCCAGCCCGGTCGACGTCCACCGCATCAGGCCCTCCAGCTGCCGGCGGCGCGGGCGGGCCATCCCGGCCAGCAGCCGCTCGCGGTACGCGTCCGACTGCTTGGACGCCTCGTTCAGCCGCGCCAGCGACGACATCGACCGCAGCGTGCTCAGCGAGCCGCGCGAGGCCGATCGCTGGCTCCGCAGCTTGGCCTTGGACACCTCACGCCAGAGCGACGACCTGCCGCCGCCGGGCGCCGGCGGCCCATCGTACTCATACTCGTACTCGTCGTAGACGTAGTCGCCGATGAGCGCCGAGTCCTTGCGCCGGACTCGGCGGCGCTTGGAGGTGCGCTTGGCGTCGGCCGTCGACATCTGCCTGGCGAGCTTGACCGGGAGCAGCATGCCCGAGACCTCGCCGAGGCGGACCTCGGTCTCCTCGGCGGCAAAGGCGTCGTACGACGAGCTATCGCTGCCGTCGTCGTCGTTATCGGAAAAGTGCGGGCCAAAGCCGACGACCGAGGCCGAGAGCCCGGCCGAGAGGACCGAGAGCAGGCCGGCCGAGATGCCGGACGACATGCGGACTGAGGACCGGCCGCCGGCGAGCAAGCCCGAGCCGTCCGGGGCGACGGCGGCGGTGCTCTCCCAGCGCGAGAGGCCGTCACCGCCACCGGCCATGCTGCCGCCGCCGATGCCGCCGCCGGCGCCGCCCTTGCCCTCCTTGCCGGTCATGACCGGCGCCGCCCTGCTCAGCTCCTGCTCGAGCTTGGAGATGCGCTCAAGAAGCGCCATCTGCTGGCCGGCAGCCTGCGAGAGGAGCTCGGCGTGCTTGGCGGCAGTGGCGGTGGGCAGGGCGTCGTAGAGCTCCTCCAGCAGGGCGCCGCCGCCGGCGCCATCGGCGGCCAGCGACGGCTTCATGTGCCGCGAGATGTCCACCTCGGCGCCCTGCTCCACCAGGCCGGCTAGGACCAGCCGCGCCTTGGTCCGCCGCTCGGCCGTGCGGTACGAGGCGAGGTACAGGCTCTGTGCGTGCTCGCGGACGTAGCGGACGATGCCAAAGTTGGCCAGCACAAAGGCGCGGTAGAGCATGCCCAGCCGCCGCCGCTTCACCCGCATCTCCATCATCCGTTCCAGCAGGTCCTTCCCGTTTGGCTTGAGCGGCTTAAAGTCCTCCAGCTCGAGCTCGCGCTCGGGCAGCGGGCCGTCCTCGTCCACCGTCACAATGGCCTCGAGCTCGTTGAGCATGGCCATGACTTCGATCATGGCCCGCCCCAGAGCCCGCGAGTTGCGCGGCGGGACAATCCGCCCGTACACGTGCTTGTCGTCCGAGACCACCTCGCGCGAGCCGCCCACGTCGGTGCAGACCACAGGCAGGCCCGCCAGCCCGGCCTCGCCGAGCGCCAGCGGTAGGCCCTCACTCTGCGACGAGTTGAGGAAGAGCCAGCCGCGCGGGAGGACCTGAGTGGCGTTGCCAAAGCCGGCCAGGTTGACGTTGTTGGCCAGCGCGCCGGCGGCAATCATGTCGCGGCACTCGGCCACGTAGCCCGGCGCCTTGGTCAGCGAGCCGTAGATGATGAGCTTGAAGCACGAGAGGCCAAACTCGTTGACGATGACGTCGGCCGCGCCGATGGCGTTCTTCACGTCCTTGAGATCGTAGACGTGCGAGAGCATGACGGCCGCGGGGAACTCCTCCTCGTTGGCCCGGATGGGCTTGAACCGGTCCGTCTCCATGCCGTTGACCACCGGTGACATCCGCGCCAGCATGTCGATCCGCCGCGAGTCGGAGCCGCCGCCCGAGCCGAGCACCTCCTGCCACGCCGGGTTGCCGAACGAGGCACAGCTGATGACCGCGTCCGAGTAGTGGTAGTTGACGTAGCACGCGAGGACCGTCAGCCGCGAGAGCGCGTTGCGCACAAAGACCGAGAAGCCCGTCGCTTCGGAGAGGGCACGCACCCGCTCGCGGTACAGCATGCCGTGGTCCCAGATGACAAACGAGGTGCCCAGCAGGAGCTTGGCCACCACGCCCACCATGGCTTGCACCCCGTGGTGCGTGGCATGCGTCACGCCCAGCCGCTGCGGGAGCGGCACCGCCAGCGGCATCAGAAAGTGCATAAACAGGCCGAGGCTGGCGTCAATCTCGTCGAGCGTCACCCGCTCCGCCAGCACGAGCTCGTCCTCGTTGGCGTTCTCCGCGTTGAGCCACGCCGTCCGCCACGCCCCGCGCACCGCCCCCGAGCTCCACGTCGTCGTCCAGTCAAAGGTCTGGAAGTAGTGGTAGATGTTGACCAGCATCGAGCCGCAGCCCTCAAGGTCCGCCGCCGACGGCATCGGAATGAGCAGCGCGTCGACCATGTCGTGCAGGAGCGGGCAGAACCGCTCCTGGATGACCTCGGTCGTCGTCGCCCACACCATCCGCGCCAGCGTCGTAAACGGCACGTCGGTCAGAATGTGCTCCGCAGGGCCCGCAGAGTCGGCGCCCACAGCGGAATGAGCACAAGCCGCTCCACGTTCTCCTCCACCTGGTAGTGGAGCGTCTTGGCCGGGTGGCCCACCTCGGAGAACGCCACCCACCGGATGCCCCACACCCGGTCGATCGTGTCGCGCCGGCACGACGCCACTCCGCCGCCGTCAGACGGCCATGTTCCAGAGTCGAGCGCGAGCGAGGTGAAAGCCGGCAGCTCGTTCGTTGTCCCCAGCAGCGACGCAGAGTCGCCCGCCGCCGTCGCCGAAAACTCCTTGGAGCTGCCGCCCGGGCCCATGGCAAACAGGTCGGCGACCTTGATGGCGTACTGCGACCGCTTGTCCTTGGCGTCCGCCACCCAGATGGCTGGCCCCACAATCGCCGCGTGCGCACGCATCCAGTCGCGCGCAGCCTCGATCTGGCATCCGTCGCGGAGCGACCAGTACTCGTGGAGCAGCGGGTCGAGCCGGAGGATGCGCGCGTCCCACAGCCGCGCAAAGTTGCCTTCGATCTTCGACTTGTGCCACAGCGCCCACAGCGACATCCGCGCCGCAATAGCAGGCTGTCTTCCGCCGTGCTCTTCCACCATTTCTAGCTCTTCGGCCTCGCTCGCCTGTCCGATCCCGAGGAAGCCGAGCGGCGCGTACTTGAGCGCCTCGGCCGCCAGCGCTTCAGCCCTCGACACAAGCGGCGTTCCGACTCCGCTCTCCGAGCCCGACCCGGAGCCCGAGACCGAGTCTCCCGAGCCTCCTGAGCCTCTCTCGCTGCCGCCACTCTCGCCGGTCTCGGGCAGGCCGCGGTCCAGCTTGTCAACGTTCGAGTTGAGGACCTCGAGCGGGATGGCGAGGTCGATCTCGGCAAGCGAGACTCCGGGCTTGATTGACGACGAGAGGCCGAACGAGTCGGCAAAGGGGGTGAACTCGGCGTCATCAATGTGCTGCTCCGTATCGTTGACGGACCGCTCCGAGTCGGCTAGCAGGACAGTGAACGGAACGTACTTACGCCGCCCGCCCTCGGCCACCTCCTCGTCGCTCGCCTTGGTCAGGATCCGCCGCACGCGCACAATCGGATGCCGCATGTGCCGGTAGAGGTGGACTTCCAGCAGCGAGTCGCCGCCTTCAACATGCCGCTCAATGCCAAGCAGCCGGTCTGTCGACGGCGCCCAGTGGATGGCAACGTGTGCATGCCCGGCGGTTGCGAGCTCGCTAGGCGTCGGCCGTGTGTTGACAAGGATAGGCACGTTGGGAATCTGCGCTGCCACTGCGGGCGCCGCCGTCGCCACGTCCGTCTCCTCGTACACAAACACCGCGTTGAGGAGGAAGAATGGAAAGTCGGCCTCGGGTGGCAGCTCCCGCTCCTGCTCCGCCTCGCCGCTTGCGTGGCCAAAGACCTTGTCCTCGACCAGCTGTGCAGACGCCACAAGCGTCTCGGTCGACTTGCCAAACAGGCCTGCCACTAGTGGCACCGCAGCAGGCACCTCGATCGTGCCCGACTGCGCCGGTGTGCCCATGCCGCCGGCCACGTTGTCGGCCTCGCCGTCGGCCTCGTCCAGGCCAGACTCACCATCTGCCAGCGACGTTGTCGACGACTGTGGCGGATCAAGGCCGGCAAACGAGACGGTGCGCTTGACCATCTGCGAGCCTCCAGCCGATGACGCCGACCGCAGGATCGACCGCGAGTTGCGGAGGATGCCCGAGACCGACGAGCCCGGCATGTTCATCTGCGAGCCGTTTGGCCGCGACATCGTCGACGCCTGCCGCGAGCCAAGCGAGATGGTCGACGCACGGATGTTGGCCATGCCGTGGGCCCCAGAACCGTCGCCCTCTTCCGACGAGAACGATGACGAGATGGCGAGACCGAGCGCACTCGACTCGCGTGGTATCACCGGGACGTCGGGCAACGAGCGCAAAGAGGCCGACAAGGTGGCCGACGACATGTCCAGCACATCCAACGTGGCAGCACCTGCTGCAGGCGCCGGCATCGTCAGAAGCGAGCCCGAGATGGACTCTGAGATAAAGGCATCGTCCGAGTAAAGGTCGAGCGCGCCGATAATCGGCGACCCATCGACGTTGGCGTCGTAGTAGTACGACTCGGACACCGGCGTTGCCGACGCATCGGTCGTCTCGTACGAGTACTCTTCCGACGACAGCGCCTCTTGCTGCTCTACAGCCTCTCCGGCTTTGCCGGCGGCTGCGCTTGAAGACGCCGAGTTGACCGAAGACGTTGAGCTGAACGACGATGTCGACGACGAAGACGCAACGCCTGAGACCGAGCCCAGCGGCGACATCGACGTGCGCATCGAGGCCAGCGAGCCCGATGAGAGGCCGAGAGAGTCGGAATCGGTCCCGCGTCCAGCCTCGGCGCCTTGCTCGTTCGACAGCAGCTCTGACGTGGCTGACACGACTGATGATGTGGACGAATGGGCCGCGAGGATGTTGGGCTCGGGCTCAGGCTCGGGCTCGGGCTCAGGCTCGGGATCAGGCTCGGACTCGGGCTCGGGCTCGGGCTCGGGCTCGGGCAGCTCGATGCCGAGCTTGATGATACGGTTGGCCATGCGGCCGGCAGCGTCAAACTGGACTACAGCCTCGATCTCCGGAAAGACGTTGAACATCGTGTAGATGTCGGCTGGCGAGCTACCAGCGCGCGGGCAGAGCTCGTCCAGCGGGAAGAGGTTCGCCTGTTTGAGTGCTGTCTGGACAGCGGCCGGGTGGCTGTCAGCAAAGCGGACGGCTGCGCCGGCACAGCCAGCCGCCAGCGAACTTGCCACATCCGGCTCGTGTGCGAGCTCAAACGCCTCGAGGGGGATCCGCGATCCAGCCTCGAGGCCGACTTGGGCATGTGCAAAGAGCGAGCCCTTTCCACCGGCCGTCGTCGCCAGCAGCCGCAGCTCCTCGTCGTAGACCACGTTGTGGATAAGCTTGGCCTTGCCGGGCCCGGCGCGCGGATCGGCCACGTGCCCGGCAACAACCATGCCCTCGATAAGCTTGGGCATGTTGGGGTCAAACTCGGCCTCGGCCGCGGCCTCATCAGCCTCGGCGCCAGCTTCGGCTTCGGCTGCGTCGTCAGGTTCGGTCGGGGGCGCCGGCAGCGGAAGGATGAGTGTTCGCGGCTTGCGGGGTCCATGCGCTGGACACCCAGCAGCCTCCGCGAGTCGGCACCGACAATGCGAATACGCTCGACGCCGACAGCCTGCTGGGCCAGATCGCGCATGTAGTCACGCCAGTGGGTGAGTGCCTTCCACACCAGAAAGTCAACCGTGCGGATGGCAAAGTACTTGTAGATGTAGGGGAGCGGGCGGACGAGCTTGACAGTGAGCGGGCCAAAGTACTGGGTGATGGCGGTATGGTACTCGATGGGGAACGAGTCGTCGCCAGTGCCACAGAGGAAGATGAGCCGGACGACGTCGTCGAGCCAGTGCTGGATGCGCTTGAAGATCGACGGTGGCGCGGTGGCGATCTCGCGGAAGAGATTGATCTTGTCGTGGTACTGCTGGCGGCGGGCGAGCCGGAGCGGCGGCAGAACCTTGACCGGCTCGCCAAGCGGAAGCTTGGGCGCGCCGTAAGGCTGCCGCCGCCGGTCGAGCGCAATGACCGCGGCGTCAGCAATGAGAAGTGCGAGCGTGGCCGAGACCGTCGAGACTGCGATCTTGGTCGTCGCCTGCAGCCGGGTGAGACCGAGGTAATCGAGCGCAGCCTGCATGTCGTCGTGGTCAAGATGGGCGACTGCAGCGACGACGTCAATGTCGAGGCACGACTTGAGGACGAGGAGCGTCTCGAGGAGGGCGCAAACAAAGGCACGGGCATTGTGTGGGATCTGCGTCTTCCACTTGACCTCAATGTCGGCGCCTAGCAGGCCAAGGCTGGCGGTCACCTTAGGCGTCGCCTTGTATAGGGCCACCAGCTGCGACTCGGGTACAAGTTCCATCTGCCTGCGAATGCGGAGCGGGACCGGTGAGAGGGTGAGGCCCGGTGCCGAGACAAGGAGCTCGGCAAGGACGGCGGTCGAGTGCGGGTGATTGCACACCAGCTCGGCAGTCTCGTGCATGAGCGCCTGCGCCGCGGTCAGGATGTACTGCTCGGGCTTGAGGCCGAGGACAACGCCGACGTAGACGGTGAGGCGAGCGACAAGGCCGCTTCCGCCGCTGCTGCCTTCAGGCGCCGGCGCAAGGTCACCGAGTGCTGCGTACCGGTGGCGCGGCGACTCGTAGAGGACCGACTCGGGAACGAGAACGATCGAGGTGTGGCCGCGAGCGAAACGATCCGCCGCGAGGCGGAGCAGAGCCGATGCGCCCGGAATTGCCTTGCACGCTAGCGCCGAGAGCGAGTCAGGCGCCCACTCGCCGGCCTCTGCGGCACGGACCGAGTCGTAGATGACGTCCAGGATGGAAGCACCGAGTGTGGACGACGGGAGGACAGCAAGCCGCTCGTGGGCCGGCAGATGGGCGTGGAGGCGATCGAGAAGAGCAGCCTGGACAACCTCGAGGTCCGGGGTGTCGGCGGCATCGGTCTCGCCCACATACCGCTGGCCGGCGGTCTGCAGCGCGTCCGACTGCATGGCGCGCTGCAACTCGACTGAAAGGCCCTTGTAGTCTTCGGTGGCAGTGAGGCCGCGCTGGACCATGACGGCAGTGACGCCGGCGTAGGCCCAGCAGGCCGCAAAGAGGCCGAAAACGGCAAAGTCGGTCGACGATGAGATCCAGACCGAGATGACTGAAGCGATGGCGCCAAAGATGAGGCAGGCCATGGTGGAGAGGACGAGCGGGGCCTTGGGCGCTGGCAAGAACATCGAGTTGTACGCGCCGAGAATAAAGCCAGTGTACGAGAGCGATGAGACGTAGAAGAGAGCACCGGCCGAGATGGTGGCGCGAGGCGAGGTGGGCGTCCGCTCCCACGGCCAAACCATGACAATGGAGACGTCCGAGGTGAGGAGGGAGGTTGAGCCTCAAAGGCTGCGTAGCCGACCGAGACAACGCCGATGACGACGATGAGGGCGAAGCAGGCGAGGACAAGCTCTGCGCGGTAGGCCTTGATGCGGACGGAGACTTCATCGGTGATGAGCGATGTCGGAGTGGTGAGGCCCGGGATGAGGCGGCGCTTGGGCGCGAGCTTTCGGAGTGCTTCGACGCGAGTGCGGACGGGCTCGACGACAGCCATGGCAGTGAGGAGGTAGACGAGGGCCCACGACGTGGCGGTCTCGTACTCGGAGACCGGGTTGAGGAACTCGGGCGAGACGCCCATAGCAATGCGGACGAGACGGTCGACGAGCATGAGCATGTAGTAGAGCGGGCCGTGAGCGACGACACCGCCGGCAAGGTGCCACAGAATGCCACCGCGATGGAGGATGTCCGTCTGGCGCTTGAGGAGCCAGCCGGCCTTGCCCTGCTTGAGCGATGCGTCCCACTCGTCCGAGGCGTGGGTGGGGAGATCGCGCTCATTGAGCAGGACCCACCAGTGGACGAGCGAGAGCTCGACCTTGTAGTTGTCGACGCGCTCCTTGACCATGTGGCCGAGGTCGCCGACGTAGTTCTTCTCTTTGACGGCCTTGACGTAGGCGGCGCGGGCCTCGACGATGTGTCGGGCGGCGGCAGCCTTGGCCCAGGGCGTGAGAGTGGTGACCTCGTCAGGTGAGAGTTCCGGTAGCTCGTCGGGAGTGGGCAGGGCCTCACCGTTTGGCCCGATGAACAGCGGCTCGTCCTGGGTGTGGACGTGCTGGATGTACCAAGCGCAGAGGGCGGGCGCGTTGGTGGTGGGCGGCGGCGGCGGCGGGCCGAGGCCTGCGGCGTAGTACCAGTCGTGGACCTGAGCCTCAGAGGTCGGCTTGATGTAGTTGGTGTAGTTGTGGAGCAAGTGGTTGATGTGGCGGATGAGGTACCAGATCATGAGGCCGACAGCACAGGCGAGACCGAGGACGTGGATCCATGCGCCCAGACCGGAAAGTGCTCTTCCTTGACGGCGCCAGTGCCGTAGAAGAAGATGACGTTGATGAGGAGCTGGAGCGCCATCGAACCGAGGAGGACAAGGCCGAGGGCCGAGGTCCAGATGGAGCCGGTGTGCAGGTTAAAGGCGAGGGTGGCGGTGAAGAGCATGGCCGAGAAGAGATTGAAGAAGATGGCGCCCGCAATGACCTGCAACCACTCGATGCCTTCCGAGGCGAGCATGACCGGGAAGAAGACGAGAAGGAGAGCGAGAGTGGCGCCGGCCATGACAATGGTGGAGAGAACGGCCATGCGGACAGTGAGCTCTGCGATGAGGGCGTAGGACCACTGGAAGAGGTAGAGCGAGGCAACGCGGGCTAAGGCATTGTCTAGCGCACCCATGAGGATGATCGAGGTGAGCATGGCGCCGGACATGACCTGCGAGGCGAGCGGCGAGACAAAGAGCGACGAGTGGAGGCCCATGCCCGTGGTGAGGACCAGAAGGAGGTTGAGGACCATGGGCAGCATAAAGTACAGGCCGTTGGCAAACGACGTGACGTAGTGGGTGATCGAGCGGGCCTCCTTGGGGGTGACGACTAGTGGCGGGATGCGCTCCTTGGGCGCAACCTCGTTGTTGAGCGGGCCGAGCACGTCGTCGGCGTCGAGGAGCTGCTTGGCGCGGACGGCGGTGTAGATGTGCGGGCCGAGGGTGAACTTGGAAACGCCAAAGAGGCGCATGACGTCGTCTTCAGTGTAGCCGCCAAACTCTGCGTAAACAAGGGCAAGGCCGCCCTCGCGGACAAGGAACGGGTTTGCGTCGCGGACAAGGGCGACGAGCTCCTTGAATCCCGCGTAGCGCGCCATGCCAACCATGGCCGAGTAGATGAGGCGGGCCGGCGGCGAAGGGTGTGACGGTGGCGGGGTGAGGGCGAGCAGAGCGCGGCCGAGACCGGCAAAGGCCGAGGAGAGGGCGTAGGCCGAGGGCGACCAGGCACCGGCATAAAAGGCTGCGGCAATGGCCTTTGCCGACTCTGAGCCACCTGCCCACTCGAGCGGCTCAAAGAGCGGCTTGAGGTGGTAGACATCAGCCTCGCCGACGAGCGAGCACTCATCGAGGAGGCGGAACTTGGCGTAGACATGGACCTGGGCGGCGTGGCGGACAAGGAGGCGGACCTGGGCATCGGGGAGGACTCTCGCCGAGTGGACCTGCATGACAGCGCCGGTGTGTGTGAGGAGGCCGGTGAGCTGGTCGTACGAGGCATTGTCGAGGATGTTGATGAGGGTGTCCGAGAGGAGGTGGAGGAGTGGTCGCGGGGTAAAGGCCGGGGACGGATCGAGGTCCTTGCGGAAGAGGGCCTCCAGAAGAACGGCACCTCGGTGGGACATACCGCACTCTGTGGCCATGTAGCAGTGGGTGACGGCCTCTGTGAGATTGGGGTGGTGGCGGGCGACGTAGATGTGGAGGACCGAGGTGTCCTGGTCGACGAGGGCCACCGACTTGAAGTTGATGCGGTAGTCGTTGAGCGGGACGCGCGAGGTCTCGACCTGCAGCGAGAGCGGGTCCAGCTCCCACACGGTGACGTAGTAGATGTCCTCGGTGGAGGAACGGAGGCGGGTGGTGAGCTTGGCACGGAGGGTAGCAAGCGCGTCGATGAACTCGGCGACAAAGGCGTCCGAGGAGAAGAAAGCCATGAGGTCTGCGTTGGCTGGATGGGCGAGGCGCTCTGCCGCCGAGTCGAGGACAGCAAGCATCTCTTGGAACTTGGGATGCTGGGCGATGCGGATGGGGTTGACATCGGTGTCGCCCTCGTAGACCTCGCGTGGGGCGGCAGCAGACATGTTGAGGGCGAGGTTGCGCTCGCGGAGCGAGGCGGCAATGTCGAGGACGCGGCGGAGGGCCTCGATACCTGCGTTGCCGTACATCTGGCGCTGGCCGGCCGAGTCTGCGTCGTGGATCTGCTCCTGGAAGAGGCGGGTGGAGACCTGCGAGGGCGTTAGCGGAGTGGCGCCGAGAGTGGCGAGCGGCGGAGGATGGAGCGGGGTTGGCGCCGGGAGCGGGAGCGCCGGCGGGCATGTCTCGCCGGGCAGGTTGCCGAGGATGTCAAGAAAGGTGTCCGGGCAGTAGTCGGCGTACGCCGAGTCGGCGACCTTGGCCTCGAGGGTGGCGTGGAGCCAGGTAAGGAAGTCGTTGGCCGACGGGGTGGGGCGTCGTCGCCGAGGGACTCGAGAAAGTCTGGAACGGCTGCGCGGGCGAGGTAGTCATACAGGTTGTCACGGTCGATGTCCGAGGGAACGTCGTGCGACGGTGGGTCCGGGTTGGGGACGTGGTCGTGGTCGAGGGTGATGGCGACGGCGCCGAGGCGCTCGGTGAGGCCGCGGGTGTACTCTGCGGCGCGGGCGGCGGCGGTGTTCTCGACAAAGACGCGGAGAAAGTTCCAGTGGAGGCGCTCGTCGGTGGCGTGGAGCGAGCCGAGGGCGAGGGCCGGGTAGGGCCAGACGAGGGCGTCGAGGTTAGCATGATCGGGCGCGGCGGTCGGGTCGTCGGTGACGAGGGTGGAGGCGGTGGCGAGCGAGTAGCGCGCGGCCGCAACATCCTCGATGGTGATGGGTGCGTCACGGCAGACGCACATGGACGGCAGGATAGAGGCGCCGCCGACCCAGGCAGTGAAGCGGGCGAGCTCTGCGGCGTCGAGGGCTGCGGCCGAGTGGAAGCAGGTGTGACCGAGAATGAAAAAGTGAGGCGATGGCGAGGGCATGTTGGCCAGCGAGGGGTAGGCGACGGGCGAGACGATGGGCACCGGGATAGAGATGAGGGTGCCGTCGAGGACATTATAGGTCTCGGACGGGATGAGGCCCGTGTTGTCCCACGGAGTCTCGGCGAGGACAAAGAGTGCCGGCTCGGACTCAAAGGCGGCAAAGATGGCCATGGCGGCGTGGAGGCCGTCGAGTCCAGAGTCGGGCGCGATGACGACGCCGTCAAAGCCGGCGTCAAGAGCATGCTCGGGCGTGTCCTCGTCGACGAACGAGGCCTTGGTGTGGCCGAGCAGTACCTTGGGCCGCGGGTTGGTCGCTGTTGGCTGGTAGTAGGCGGTCGGCGGCGGTGCGGCCGATAGCGGGATGACCAGGACGTCGGGCTCGGTGAGCGCAGCTGGGAGCGTGACCGGCGGCAGCGGGAGAGTGCCGAGAAAGAGGGTGAACGAGGAGAGGGTGGAGAAGTTGAGCGGGAGGGACGGAGCAAGGGTCATCGCCAGCGGTGCTGCGGGCTCATCTGACTCGGCGGCCGGGGCGAGCTCAGCGGCCGGGGCGGGCTCAGCGGCCGGGACGGGCTCGGCGGCCGGGGCAGGCTCGGGCTCGGGCTCGGGCTTGGGGGCCGGTGTCGGCTCGGTGTCCGAGAACGGATCGGAAGTGGAGGAGGCGGCGGATGCGGGAGAGTGCGGCGGCGACGATAGTGGTGACGGCGGCGATGGCGGCGATGGCGGCGATGACGCGGCGGTAGACTCGTCCGGACGAGGGGGGGTGGGGGGGTGGGCCGAGAGCCGCGGCTCGCCGTTGGAGTCGAGCGAGGACGACGAGGCCGAGATGGAGATGGTCCGTGTCTGGGGCGGGAGCGAGGAGAACGAGACGGTCTTGTGGGCGAGAGTGGCGGTGGAGAGGACTCGGTCGACGAGGGACGTCTTGCGGATAGCCGGGGTCAGGGCCGGAGCGGGAGCCAGCGCCGGAGGTGGGGGTGGGGCCGAGGGTGGGGCGGGTGGTAGCGGCAGGACCGATTCCGTGGAGGAAAAGGTTGAGGAGGAGGAGGAGGAGGAGGCTGCAGAGGCCGGCGATCCTGGTGGTGACGGTGACGGCGAGGGCAAGGGCGAGGGCGAGTCCGGTGGGGTGTTGGACGGGGAGTCGGCCTTGGTGGCGCCGTGGATCGAGCGGGCAAGCGGAGCCGGTCCGGCGGGTGCAAGGTCGGCAGTGACCAAGTCGCGGGGCGGAGCGGGGGCAGAGGGCGGAGCGTGATCTCGAGCAGCACGGGCTTGCTCCGCACGGACCTTGGCGGCACGCTCGACGAGGGTCGAGGCATCAAAGTTGAAGAAGCGCGGCTGGATGGGCGACGGCGGGGCGATGAGGTCGTCGGACGAGTGCGAGACGACCGTGCCCGTGGACGAGCCCAGCACCAATGACTGCTGGGCAAGCGAGGGCGAGGCGAGGGCGTCGAGACGGGGTGGGCGGAGCGGGTCAAGGCAGACAGCATCTGCATCTGAACGGGTCGATGAAAGCGACGACGACGAGATGCTGAGCTGGGCCGCCAGCTGTGGTAGGTCGTTGCCAAAGGCACGGCCTGGCAGCGGGAGCGGGATGACCGAGAGCGAGGTCGAGCCTGAGAATGAGAGCGACGACGCAGGGTGCGTGTTGCGGACAGCGGGAGCAGCGTCGCTCAGTTCGGACGAGGCCGACGACTGCGGGCTGGCCGGCGGCGAAAGCGCCGCCAGCGTGTCGTCGGGCAGGAGTAGGCGTTTCTCGGAAGCTCCATCAGCGTCTCCAAAGGTCGACGAGGAGGAGGAGATGGAGCTGGCGTCGTCGTCTGACAGCGTCTTGTCGGGTGCGGACGTGAGTGCGGGTGCGGGTGCGTGTGGAGCAGGAGGCTCGGAGTCTGACGACTTGAACAGCCCGGTGCCCGAACCGTCGTCAGCTGCGTCGCCGGCATCGTCGCCGGACTCGACGCCCGACTCGGAGCACCAGGTGATGTCCGACGAGTCGCGGTCGGGCGCGGGAGGAGCGTCCGGACGGCGCGGCTTGAGGGTCATCGGGAGTGGGCCTGGGCGAGCCGGCTTGGTGGCGAGCGCCGAGTGCGACGAGGACGAGGACGAGGATGACGAGGAGTTGCCGGTGGGAGTAGCGGCGGCGGTCTTGATCGACGACGACGATGAGGATGAGGAGGAAGAGGACTTGGAGGAGGAGCGCCGTGCAACAGCCTCGCTCAGCTCGTGGGCAGCGTGATGCAGCTTGTCAGCGGTGGAGAGCGAGCGGGCAGCACGGGCACGAGCCTCGTCCCGGGTCGCCTGCACCGCAGCCAGCATGGCGAGCTGCGACTTCAGCGCCGAGACGGCCGCATGCGCCGGCGATGCCGGAGCCGTCGTCTGTGACGGGTCGGGCTGATTCGGTGTCGTCGAGCTGATGGGTGTCGTCGAGCTGATGGGTGTCGTCGAGCTGATGGGTGTCGTCGAGCTGATGGGTGTCGTCGAGTTGGTGGGTGTCGTCGAGCTGATGGGTGTCGGCGGGTGAGTGGCCGTGGTGGGGCGAGTGGCCGTGGTGGGGCGAGTGGCCGTGGTGGGGCGAGTGGCCGTGGTGGGGCGAGTGCGGGGTGCGGGGTCGGGGTGGGGGGTGGGGCGGTTTGTGCGGTCTGCCCTGCCGACGACTCCATGGGCATGGTGGTGGTACTGGGGGGGGGGGCGTGTCTGGCTGTGGCTGCAGTCCTCCGCCCGTCCGTGGTGCCCACTCGGTCGTGTGCGCGCAGTGCTGCCTCCTCTGTCGCTCTGCCACTCTGCCGCTGTCCTTGCCTGTCGCCCTGCGTTTGCCTGCCTGCGCAACATTCATGATATGCGGGACAGGGAACAAACGGAGGGGGGGGGGGGGGATGGAGAAAATTGGACGTGTCACGGTGGTGGTTCGAGCTGGCGTAGGGGTTTGTCGCGTTTTCTGTGCTGTGCTGGCTGCGAGTAAGTGTGTGCACTGTGAAGAGGGTGTCGACATGGACGGGAGGGGTATGGTGTGAGGGTGTGAGGGTGGAGGGGATGGATGGGGGTGGCGGTGGTTGGCAAGAGGAGGAGGCAGGGAAACTCGGTGTTCGTCGGTGGGCTTTGATAGAAATATATCTGCCGCGCCACCCTCCCCCTCCCCCTTTACCCGCACTCTGTCCCGCAGTTTGCTCGCGCGGCTGCGGGGGAGGCAAGCCCAGCAGCGCCACAAGGCGGCTGGACGTGGGATGGGTCGATGGATGGCATCGATGGGTGCGGGCGCCCGCAGGCTCACGGATGGAGGACCGAGGAGTAGGGTCCGGCTGTGGCGGCGGCGGAGCGGCGATGGTGGATGGTGGTGATGGGTGAGGGCGAGGGCGAGGGTGATGAGGGCGAGGGTGATGGCTGGGTGGCCAGAGGCGGAGCGAGGCGCAGAAAGTCGAGCTCATGGCCGACGTCGCGAAGGGTTATGTGGGGGTGACCACCGTCGTCGCTGCCGTCGCTCTCGCCGTCGAGCGCGAGGTGGGCGTCAGCCGGGCGGAGCTCGAGATCGGGCAGCTCGGGCCCGTTGGCGAGATGGAGGCGGGTAGAGAGCGATGCGGCCGGGCCGGGCTCGGGCTTGACGTCATCGTCGTCGGCGACTGTGCCAAAGGTGGCGCGGAAGAGGGTGAGCGGAGTGGTGAGGCCCTGCAGGACGACGAGCGAGGTGACGAGGGCAACGGCGGTGGTCGAGGTGACGGGCATGGCATCGAGGAGATGGCTCGGCCCCACGACGAGGACCGCGACACCGGCGGTGAACTGGAAGGTCGGGACGACAAAAGAAGAGACAAGGGCGCGGAGCTGGTCGCGGCGGGCGCGCTCCCAGGCACGGGAGACGCGATCAGTGAGCCAGCGCGGTGGGCGGAGGACAAAGCGGATGGGCCGGGCCGAGACGACGCCGCGGGCGTGGGCGCGGGGGTCGGCGAGCGGCGCGAGACGGGCGGCGAGGCTGCTGGTAACGCTGGCTTGACCAGGAGCAGGTAAATCCGGTCCGCGGGCGCCGCTGATGGCGTATGCCATGGTGTCAAGGACCGAGCCGCGCGGAGGCGGGGCGAGCGGATCGGCTGGGCGGCGCGCGGGCTCGGAGCCGTCTTCGGCGACGATGGAGCCCGGCGGAGCGAGGTCGGGCCCGACGCCGGCAATGTGGACGCGGTGGAGGGAGGCGTAGCGGAGGGCAACAAGGAGAGCAAGGAAGAGGTGCTGGGCAGCCGGATCGGGCCAGCCGCGCGGGTGGAGGGCGGCGAGGGCGGCGAGGGCGGCGCGAACGGTGGCGCGGGCGGGAGGAGCGTCGGAGAGCCCGATCTGGGCACCGTGGTGGACGGCGAGGTAGAGGTAGGCCGAAGCAGCGATGGCCTCAAACTCAGAGGCGGAGCGGAGGAGGAGGCGGGTGCGGATGTTGCGGAGGAGGACGACAAAGGCGGCGACGAGGGCCGAGGCCGAGGCGACGACGGCGAGGGTGGCCTCGGGGTGGTAGACAAGGGCGAGGGCGAGCCAGGGGAGGGCGGCGCCGTACTGAGCGGCGGCGACGGCAGCGACGGCGAGGCGCGGGAGCAGATTGAGCGAGCACGGGCGCTCGCGCGGGTAGAAGACGCGATACAGGCGCGGCGGCCAGAGGGCGGCAGCCTCGGCCTGGGCCGGGCGGGCCGAGTCGCTGACCGTCTCGGAGAGGGCAACTTCGGCGGCCGGCGCGACGACGGTGACGAGAAAGAGGACGCCGTAAACGGCGGCGCTGGCACCGGCGCCGGCAGCGGCCGGTAGATCGGCGGCGACGCGGCCGCCCGGGGCGAGAGCGAGGGCATGCAGGACGAGGAACGGGCCGAAGAGGAGGGCCCAGGCCGAAAGCGGGACGAGGATCTGCAGGGCGCGCTTGGCGCCCGGAGCGGCGGCCGGATCGACGGCGCGGGCGTCGAGCGGCGAGACGCCGAGGGCGCCGAGAGCGAGGACGGCGTCGGTCCAGAAGACCCACAGAGCGAGGAAGAGGCCGCCGGCAAGGAGCGCCGCCAGCGACCACAGGAAGACAACGCCGAGCGGTGAGACCGGCGTGGCGATGAGCCGCTGGCCCGTCGCCGATGCCGTCCGCAGGCGGCAAGCTGCGTAGTCGTAGCCCGTGGATACTTGCAGCGGAGGCTGCTGTGTCGCCCTGTTTGGATGACAGTTGCCTAGTTGAC